GGCGCGGAAGCTTGCTGATCGGGGAGAGGCGGAGGGGGACAGTGTGGGTGAAGCGAGGAGATACTCACCAGGCCCCGGTTGCCCATGACGGGCCGGCCAAGGTTGGCGAAGGAGGGGGTGAAGTCAGGGCTGCAGTTCATGCCACTGAGGCGGATGGGGTCAAGCACCCGCAGTGGGGTCTTGTTGGCCTGCGAAGGTACACAGGGCTGAGGATGCCCGGGGGCAGAGGAGCGGGACGGATCCATCCCCCAGCCTCAGCGCCGGGACAAGGAACTGCAAAGAAGGCCCCAGATGTGCCCCCACACACCATCCCCAGGCTCAAGGCTCGTTGCAAAAGCTACAACAGCTTTACCTGAGCACAGCAGGTAAATCTCTGGCCCACCCTGACAAGGCACAGAGGAGCCAGATCCCCACCCAGGCACCCACCCACACTGCCCCAATTTCCAGGGCCGCACCGACCTTGTCCAGCACCACGTCTGTGATCTGCGGCAGCCCTTCGGGTTTCTGCATGCTGGCAAAGATGAACTGGAATCCCAGCAGGAACTCCCGGTCATATCGCTTCTTCTCCTCAGGGTTCAGCGGTTTCCATTGCTCTGCAGTGGGGGGCAAGAGGGAAACCTTGATGTGGTCTATCTCCTATCCTCCGCCTTGAGCTGTGGCAGGTCTGGGCCCACCCAGAGACCAGCTAGGTGGGATGTAGACAACCACAGAGCTGCCTCAGGCTGGCACGCAATAAGCACGATGCTGCTTGCTTTACATAGAAAAGTGTGGTGCCACCAGCTCCCTGCCTCCTGCCAGGACCCTCACACTGGGGCCTTTGTCCCCCACCTTGTGCCAGGCTTGGGGACAAGATGGGAAGAGAATGTGAGGTTTAGGACAGCTGGACCATGCCAGCCCTACCCTCTCCACCACTGGGTCTAGAGGTAGTAGCTCCCAGTGGAGGCCTGGGCCAAGGCACAGCTCACCTTCCTTGTAGCGGTACTTCTGGTCAGCAGCCTTGCCCTTCTCCGGGGCCAGCTTATCCTCCTTCTCCTCCCATGTCTCCTCCGACTCTTCTTGTGGACGGGCCGGAGCCGTGTCCTCCACTTCGCGGGCAGGGGCGGATGTGGGGGGCTTGTTCTCCGCCTCTGAGGCACTGTCACTGATCTGAGACTGCATCGGGAGGTACAGGGACAACAGTCACCTCCACGAGCCTACTCCTGTTCCCTCCACCCTGCATGCAGGCATCAGTCCCCCTCAGATCCTCATTACCATCACAGAGCATCAGTGGCCCAGACACGATGGCACAAAGCAGAGTTCATCAGAGGAGCAGATGGGACACAGGGTGACAACCCGGGGACACTTACCTCTTTAAAGGCATCCAGCAAATCGCCTACTGCCTCCTTCTTGTTCAGCTCCTTCATCCTTCGCTTCTTCTTTGGCACCGACACGGCAACTGGGAGGAGAGGCAGGGAGGTGAAGGACAGGAGCCCTCCCAGTGTGCCATGCACCCCGACACCAGTTCTGCAGTCACCAGCAAGGCCGCAGTAAAACCAGGTAGGGATGGGGCCGTAGTCCTGCCACCCCAGCATAGTCCTCGTCCCTTAACACACCTGTACATCCATAGCCCTGTGGATCCTACACACAGCCCACCAAGGCACCCCACTCCCCAAGCACGCACCCCAGAACACATCCCATACAGATACACCTCACAGCTCTCCCCAGTCCAGCTCCTTCACCCTAATTTACCCTGTGCCTCTCTGAAGTGTCCCATCCAAACCTCCTCACTAGTGCAGCACTCCCCATCCTCCTCAGGGGATCCCTGCAGACACCCACACCCCGCTGCAGGGAAGCCCTTAAGGGACACCCCCACACACAACCTCTGCCGCCACATACAGGGTTGACAGGTAGTGGAGTGTATACCACCCCACGCAGAGGTGCTCCCCACGAGCATGGCTGCCCCTAGGTAGCTCCCCCCTGCACAGGTTGCTCTGTATGAGCAGATCCTGTGCACTCACCTCTCACAGTACACCTATGTAACACCTACACTCCCGTATAGAGTGGTTTTTTTTAAAAAAAAAAACAAAACACAAACAAAACCCACGTAGATATACCTTCACCTTGGCACATCCCCAGGGCACCCCTACGCACTTGCATACCCCTATGCAGGGCACCCCACAGAGCTACAGCCCCACAGCTCCGCATGTCCCCTTGCCACTCCTCCCTATGCCCCCTGGGACAGACTTTGGATAACCCACCCTACACCCTGGCACAGGGCATCACACAAAACACACTTCCCTCACAGCACCCCATTCATTCCCCAGGGCACCCCACAGACACACTGCTCTGTACCCATCTTATTCCTGCATAAGGA